CCCCCGCCCCTCCTCTCCGTCGCCTCTTTATCTCTCTCTTTTACGTGGTAATCTAAGAATACACCACTTGTACCTAATATCAGTTAATTTAGTTACGAGTACATCCATTTCACCCCACACATTTCTTAATTCTGTACATACCGATCTCTTCGAACGCGCGAGTAGAATCGCCCCGGCGACGGTTGATAGAATTTCAACGAAATTTCATCGCACAGTACAGGTAATGAAAATGATCTGGAATCAATATTTACGCCACGTGCTCCGTGTGCTTTTTTTAAAACACGTAAGATAACAATTTTCTAAATAAGAGAACAATGCGGTAGGAGTTTATACGTAAACGAGCAACGAGATCTAAGGGGTTCGATTCGATTTACAGGAGTACATCTGCAAACGAATAGAGATTTTCGGCGATCATTTCGGATAGATGTACCGTTGGCGAAACTATAACGCTCTAATTGTGAATTGAAATGCGCGAATCGAACGAATGAGGAAAATTGTTCGAGACGGGACTCGAATACGCGTCAGTGCGCGTGATTGTGTCTTCTTGATTGCTTCGAGAATTCCGTCGTATGCGTCGTGCGCCGGTGTGCATTCCTTAACAACGCGCGAAGTGCAACAACTACAGAGCGGCAGGTGTCCGGCGCAATCACGGCAAATGCGCATTCCTGCCGGGCAATTTACTAGCTTTCTCGGATTCGGAGCGCACGGCGCATCGGTAATGGCGAATACTCGCGAGTGCTCGATCATTTGCATACTCGTTGATTGTCTGCCGTAACGGAGCACCGAGAGGAGCCTCCGGCGTCGAAATTAGTCCGTTTTTAGTTTCGTCGGTTCGCAACGCAGCCCGACGCTCGGGCGAGAAATTCCTCGAGGAGGTGTCTCGCTTCTTCGATATTTTATTCGCGCGTGAGGATAAAACGAACGAATAATAAGAATAACGCCTCGAGGAATGTCCAAGTGCGAGAAACTTGTTACTCGATGCAATGTCGTTTTGGAAAAACCTGCGAGTGCGTGAAGGCGTGACGAGTACTTGAGTATTTTGTAGTTGATCCGAGCGAAACTTGAAAAAAATAGCAACGCTTGTTGGAAGTGAATGTCTAAGATAGTCCGGCTTACTTGACACCGCCGAGATTCTTGATTCTTGAGCGTTCAATATTCATGAAGGTTGACTATTAATAATCCCGGGACGCAGGCCATTCTAATAAACATGCAGAGGCGCAAATCCACGATAAACTCTACTTACGGAGGAATATTCGAAATATGTGCGAGCACGTTTCCGTGTCGCAAAGCAACGCGCTACCGAGCATGCTTTCCCCATCGATAAAAGTACGTGGATAATCTCGATCGAGTTCCAGATATACTCCGAGAAATCCGCGATTATCTCCCTCCATTCATTCGCTCTTTCAATTAATCCATCGTGTGTGTAGTGCACGAGGTGAGAGCGGAGGACATCGGAATCGTAGGATCTCGGGGCGATCCCGATAAGCAACCCTTTCTGGTGGGCTATTTCAAGAGTTCGGGCAAGAGAGAATCCAAGGTCCGGCAGAAACGCGACGCCAACAGAAAGAAGAAGAGCGAGTCCTCCAATTGGGATTACCAGAATCCTTACACAGGTGAGTTCGCGCGCGGACTGTAGCGTCACATTGCGGAAGCTTACGGCAATATTGCCGCAACATTGCAGCAATGTTGCAAACGCCACCGCAACGTTAACGTTAGCTCTCGTACGGGGTGTCGCTTTCCGATTGTTCAAACTCGAAATATACCTCGCAAAATGTAAACTTGATTTTCCAAGGCGATTAACCAGATTTGTAAGTCGAGGAGATAAACGAGACGGTGTTTTTGCAGAAACCGCTGCGCAACATCACTCGCGGACCTGCAAGATCCAAACGCTGTACGTCAGCTTTCGCGATCTGCAATGGCAGGTGGGTTGTTCAAATCAACGTATGTTCATTCGACTTGCGTGTGTGTGCTTCTTTTCTTCTCTCATGATTCGCTATCGACCTATCTGTCCCGCAGGACTGGATCATCGCGCCGGACGGGTACGACGCGTACTACTGCAGCGGAGAATGTAATTTCCCGTTGAACGCTCATATGAACGCGACCAACCACGCTATAGTACAGACACTGGTGCACCTGGTGAGCCCGGGAAAAGTGCCGAAGCCTTGCTGCGCGCCCACCAAACTGTCCGCCATCTCCGTATTGTACTTCCTAGACGAGAGCAACGTGATTCTCAAGAAATACAAAAACATGGTCGTGAAGAGTTGCGGCTGTCATTAAACTATCTTCTCTGACTAACCGATAACGCTCATCAATCGATGATTTTGATCGTCAAGTTCTATCACACGAACGTAGATCGAACGGTGATCTCTCTCGTGGCCTAAAATTGTCGGTTTTCGGGAAATTCGGCAGCAACGATGTAACCACAGCGAATGAGATGTTAAAGGGAACACAGTTAGCAATTGCATATATGTAATCTTATTTCGATAATGTTAAAAGTTTATGCATGTAAGAGTTAATATGTAGATTTACTGAATTAGTCAGACGAATTTTGGAACAATCGCGACGGATGAGGTAGTTACTCGAGCAACAAGATCTATTGCTTCCGTACTAACAAAGATGTAGAGACTTTTGAATTTCTTCGGGACATGTCGTAGGAGGACGAACGCATTGACATTATACCATAGCCGATTTAGAAATCTGCCGTATGATATCGATGATCTGCGCGCGTTTCTACGACATTCTTCATTGACCAAAATATATCGTAATAAAGTACGAATGTAACATTCAAATTGTTTACCGTTGCTCTCACAATCGAGTTAATCGTAGCCCTAGTCCTATCTAACAAGGGTCCCATCGAGGAAAATACTAGTGTTGATACAATAGTATAAGCATCCCAAAAGTATCGCGCATAAATATGCGAAAGTAATTATAATTTTATAGAGACTTGAAAGTCCAAACGTTTACAATTTTCTTACTTGTAAGTTCAAATGTTTATGATACCTTTTTGATTTGGTCAAGAAGGTCAAGAAGTGGAAGTTTTGGCAACAAAATTTATTATTTAGCGAGTTGACTTTATTCGTGATAACAAAACTGATATTTTTATTCGTATTTCTGATTACCAAATAATCTATACTTATAGTATAAGACGTGGATGTACGTACGTGTATATTTAAACTTTAACGTAAATTATTAACGAGTAAACCTGTTAGTGTATAATTTAGTCATATACGTACATGTATAAAAACCAACTATTATTATATATTAATTCGTATTTTTTACATCGCTATTGTAAATATGTAATTTTTATATCTCTTGTATATATACTTTCTCTACCGCAAATCTTATAAATCAGTATAAGTAAATTTTAGAAATATTTATCGTCAAATGTGTGAAATCTCTTACAAGTAGTTTAATAATGTTTGCATTTTTTAAAATCACGTCATTTTATAATAAGAGGAGAATATAAACAAAGATGAAATTCACACTTTGACAGCTTTTCATAAAGTAAGAATCAAATTTAATAGATAATTAATAATATTTGCAACATGATATATTTTTATGAGAATCTATGTAGTAATAAATAGAATTGTTATTAAACATAAAAGTTATGTGTGTGCAGATGTTATCAATATTTTATTAAAATTATTCTTGTGACTTCTTATATATCTTTGTTTATTCTTATTTTACTGACACGCGCGCGAGTCTCTCTAAATTTACATACTATATAGAAAAATAAGAAAACCCTTCTCTTTCTCTTTTACATCATAGCATTTATAAAAATGTAAAAAATATTAAAAACAAACGATATGTCTTACTAATTTCGCATATTTTTTTAGTATAAGTAATATTAACATTATTACTATATAAATGATAATTTTTTTAAAAACCGCCTTTGTGCAAAAGATTGCCAAAGAAATATATATTGATATTAGTACTATGCATTAATAATTTTTTTAAG